TTCAAGAGATAAGCGGTCGGCCAGGATGTTTAGTTTAGTTGAAATCAGTAAATGTGCCGTGGGTTTACAGCTCCGGTTCCGATTAGTTGTTTGTTGTACGAAATCGAAAGCGGTGTATGTATACGTTGTGAATACTACAATCCGAAGATGATGTGCATTCGTCTGCTCATCCAGTTATATCACTCACTGTGTGTGAACCGAGTTCGGATTCTTGCTACACGGTCAAGTTATTCTGTTGGTCGANCCAAGAAATTCCCTACGATGATGTGTACAGCATGTGCGCCTAACCGTACAAATGGCCAACACGGTCAGACTGGTTGTTCCGTCGAAAACGTTACAAATAGTGCATTTCACAACGGTGAACTTTAGGTAAAACTTACACAACAGAATGTCTCTCCAACAGAAAGAAAAGATACATAACTCTGTCTGACTACCTGGAACTGTGCTCTTGATTCACAAAATTGGGACAATGGGGCAATCAGATGATCTCTGATTTTCGTGAATATTACTCGGCTGATTTGCATGCTCATTCAGGCTCTATACTTATGAATGTTTATTGAAATTTTTCCGAATGTTATTTGGCAGATTTGAAGATTTTATTTTATGTTCAGTAGCCTCGGTGGGATTCGAACCCACGCACAGACGCCGCCTACGCTTTTGTACCGCGCACGCCCTACCAGCTGAGCTACGAATATATCTACCTGTTTGGTGAGGCAGATAGCGATCGAAAAAAATGAAGGGCGGTCAAGCTAAGACCTGGCATGAGGGTATGAAAACCCTGACCAGGGGACTGGCTCACATAGGTCCCGTTAGGCTCCCTGGATGGGGACCCAGAGATCATGGTCACCGATGGTTAGAGACACCGAGCGATAGGGCTGGGTGTCGCAAACAGTGGCGCTCATGCATCTACTCATTATTCTTGTAACTTCAGTCTGTGAAAATGTGCTACCTTCCGCTTAAATCTGCTCTCAACATTCTACTCATCATTCTGCTATTTTCTCCAAATGGGCATCCAAAAGACAGCAACTAAAACCGGCGCACGAAAGTGCATGGTTAGTGGTTGTAAGAATTGAACTAAACTGAACGAATATATCTGAAGATATCTGAAGAAGTAAACATTCGATATCCGCAGAGTTTGTTATCCAAATGAGTGTGAAAGGGCAGCAGGTTGTCGGTATTTGGAAACTGGGGAGTTTGCCATTTGGATATCGAAGATCTCAAACAAATGATGATCCATGATTTCCAAGCCATTTCGCGATCTCCTTAGTAGTTGTCGTCGGCTTTCTGTGATAAACGGAAGACTACAATGTGATGAGAGGTCAAGTTATGCCGCAGCTCACTCGCATCGGATGCCAAGTGACTGGCATCCCTACCAGGCTTAAGGATTATTGATCTGTATTTCACTCGTTGACCCAGTAAATCGTGTTGACTCGTGTTCTTCACAAACCAGGGACTTACAGTTATAAAAATTTGTGACAACAGCGGAAAATGGCTATTCCAGTGTGTTTTTAGCAGCAGCTAATAGAACGACAACAACAACAGTTTGAACCTTTGATTCAGTGCTTTTCTTTGCACCGAAAATGGAGATGACTTCAAGTTTCTACTGTCCAAACTCTGTTTCAAAGTATCCGTGAATTTCATTATGAACCGGATGTTGAGTTATGGTATCTCAGACGAAAAGATACGTCGATGATTGCAGAGAACTCGTTGGGGTCGGATGATCTTTAACCACAGGGTTCCCGGTTCCGAACGTGTTCTAAGACGGGCATTGAACAGACGTGGTCTAGATGCACGACGACCGGTAAAGACTGCTTGGATAAGCGCGCATCGGTGCCACGGGTATGGAGCATAATGGGGTACTGTCATGTGGGACGATGAAGCCAAGTTTTAGCTAAGGACGGTTGATGAAGGGACAGGGGCACAGAAAAGAGATGTTTGTATCAAAATTGCATAGTGGCCAGCTTCTTTTACTGTATGGGGAGCTGTTTGATCTGATGGGAAGACTGAGCTGGTTTTCATCAGCCGACCCACGCTCAAGTCGAGGTGTCTAAGACTGCTAGATAACCAATTCATACCTCTGAAAAACGAGCAGTACTATCGTTTAGTTGTCAATTCCTGTAATTCTGATTACGAGCCATAGAAAAGTATGATTCACACACCGACAGGTTTTCTCAAGTCAATTTACCTTTCATTTGGTTATTCTGTCTCTTCGCCAAGATCACACAGCCTTCCTTCTCCTAGTGTTTCACTGTCCCATACCGTTCAATATTTCAGCTGGAATGGGAACGAAAAGCCGAAAGCGATTCGCAACTAGCTAAGTAAGTACTATCTGTCACTCACGGTTTGTCTACTGTTGTTCCTTTCCTTGGTTTCAGTTGGTTGTTTGACCTATCGGGCTCGGTTTCTCTATCCCCACAATGCGCTAAAGGCTCTGCGTTCGACGTTGTTCATCCTGAAACGTCTTGTTTACCTGCCGGTGTGACTACTAATCAGCAGGGATGGGTAATGATAGTGTCCGTATTTTGCCATAGGATTAAGATTAACTTTGTTTGCCTTTGTATTAATTATGCTGTTTATGACCCCGTTTGTGCAATACGTCGTCTGTTGTCCGTACGGATTTAATCCAAATGCAAATTGAGTTGATTCAGGTATCGATTCTTTTTTCCATACACATCGAGTTTTGGCGTATGTCCCCAGAGAAGCACAAGTATTTTGCTTACGGTATTTGGCCTCGTCCTGGTGGTGATCTAATGGTATAGTTGCTGTTATCGGCGTGCTTTGGACCCTATAATCCGAGGTTGGAATCCCACCAACTTTGGTGGTAGATAGCTTAGCTGTCGTCTAATTCAATAGCACACCTATCCTAGCTCGGAGCCTTATGCGGTTCACCCCCCAAGTCCCGGGGCTTAGATTACCGGTTTCCATCACAGAATAGCAGGTTTACGGGCTAAGAATTACGTACATTTTTGCCGAATTTCCCTTCTGAACAACATTTGACGGTACGGCATTTGCGTTATGAACCTCGTTGCAGAGAATTTAAAGTTGCAGGTTTTGTTTGATGTTTGCTTTCAATTCCGTACACTGATTCATCAGCCTTGTACCTTCCTGTATCGGTTCTGAGTGTTGTCTTTCGGTTAGGAATACATTTTACCGTAGTGTGGAAGTAAACAAAGCATGCACAGATTATATTGGAAATCCTGGACAACTGTTTTAACCTAGTTGACTCTCATCACCTACCGAACTGAGGATCGCGAACCCGGGACTTCACATGCAGGAGGCAAGTATACTACTCACCCGGCTGCATTGGGGCAACCGATTCTCATTTTCCTTATACATGATATGGCACAACCCATCTTTGTGAGCTTAATACAAACATCGCATCTTGCACATCTCAGTACCAGCCTCCATGGTTATGGCTCGGTTGTAAACATTCCTACCAGATTATACGTAATCCAACCAAATCTCCCACTCCTGTCATGGATCATGTTGGAATTGTCTCGCTGCGTCTTAACTCGTTCGCACTCTACTCGGCCGGGCGAATCCAATAGTTTGGAAACATATTAGTGGGTAGAAAATTCGACTATGGTTCATTCACACCTTAATTCGCCGAAACTGAGTCACGTGGTAAAACATGTTCGCAACTCATGAACCCATTCACCCCTCCCCCCTCACCTCCATTGAATCCTATAGGTCAAAGGCTCCGTTTAGGGTTCCCAAAGAAAGTCCCCTTCGTCGGTGTGGGCCACGGCGAAGTGAGTCGTACCCTTAGGTATCACAGTTCTCAGGATTTTGCCAAATGGAGTTTAAACTAAGATGGTGACAGAACGCACAAGGTCTGATCGAGCAACTCAGGTTTTCGCGTTTTTGGGACACACGCTGGACAAATTCAAGCGTGCTCATCCGGCTAAATCGAAAACCGGCCACTTGAACTGTGCAAAATGAAACTCGTTCTCTTCTCAGATCGGATCGGTTCCGAGGAGAACAATTTGGGACCCGGGAGGAAACGAGTGGCTGCGTTGTAGTTGGCAAATAATATGAGCTGATTGGCACAGGGGCAACATACGTCGTCTGTGCGATGAATCCGAAGTTCAAATCTCGAACGGGGTGGCAGACAAACCACGGATGAACTCCAGTGAGAGCGAAACTCGAGTCCAGTATTGGATCAACTGATTGATTGAGTCTGAAGAATGATCAGTTCAGATTAGTAAAATAGAAATGCTTGTGGCTTCTAACACGTAGCTTTTAATGCTCGAATTAGCTTGAAAATTTTCTCGTCTCGTCTTTCTTTCCATCTACTCATTATTCTTTTAACACCAGTCTATATGAATTCTCTATCTTTCGCTTGAATTTGCTTTCAAAATTCCAAACTTCATCCTACTCTTTCATCCAAATGGTCTACCAAAACCGGCGCACAGAAGTTGTAAAAACTGAACTGAACTTTCTTTCCCCGGGTACTAATTATTTTCATGGGGTTAGCGATGAAGGACCCGGGTTGGCTAAAACATGTGGAATATGCATAGCGCTATAAGAGTACCCTCTTGTGGAGCGCATCATAGCGGCAATCTCGCACAATTGCGTTGAGGAACACCTCCCTGGAAGAAGCGCGAAAGCACCGTGACATCATCATACAGGGGAGTACAATGAAGCGAACTTCAGTGATCTGTGACGAACTCGCATACAAAGTGGCTGACTTTGTGTAACCTGCATAGGGATTGTTCTTATTTCCACAGGAGAATAAAGTGGATATCTGCTCAACACAGTGTATGCACCTTTCATGCATTTTGGTGTGATAAGAAGTGACAATAGGTACGCCACCAGATCCATCAATGTCTCAAACCAATCGGTTACAGATTCTTTTGGACCCAGCCTGGGAGACGGGAGAAATTTACACTAATCGCCATGTTCATTTCTTCGTGTCTCATCTCCACTTCATCTGCTGAACGCGTGGTTTTCTCTAGTATGGAGCCACAACTGCAAAAAAGGTTCGATGTGGCAGACACCAGTTGGGCATGCGCGACACGTGCTTTAGCCACACAAGCTTGGTGATAGGTAGCTTTACTGCCGTCCGGTTCAATACCACGCTTCACCTAGCCCTATGTCGTTCCCCACTCCAGTTCCCGGTTTCCATCACTGAACAGCAGGTCTTTGTGACTATGGGTTTCACGCCGTCTGCTGTTGACCACACAAGTGTGTGTGTTATGAAAAGGCCTTTTATTCTATGTTCGATTTGACGAAAGCATTGAGTGTTAAAAACCTCTGTTCGATGGGTATCTTTTACTCGCGGATTCGTGGTCACACAACCATAAAGCAGAACAGAACTCGCGGTGACAAGATATACACAACCCTTCTAATTCAGAGAAACATTACGTTGATACCAGAGGTGCGTGCGCTGCGCGAGCCTTGGAAATGTGTACAGTTATCTTTGTAGTACCACCGTCGCTGGTCATAAATCTACATAAGGAGAATAAGCAATCAACTTCAGCCAGTTCCTGTCCCTCAAGTTTCAACACAGGTCTAGTCTTCCTGCATCCGTTCTCACTTTGAAGGTAGTCCTTGACGAGTTTTATACACCCCATCGTGAAGGAGTTGAATTCAAGCTTTGCCAACTGTCCCAGACAAGTTAACTATCACTTGTTCGTCAACTCGTGTATTGGTTACTCATTCTCATCTCAGTGAAACTCCGCAAACAGACCGCAGAAACCAGAAGTTGCTCCTGAGAAGGCATGCATGCCTGTCACCAGAACGCCTTTCAACAGAATCCTGGGACGATTGAATTCGCTTATCTGAACATCCATCATCAGTCATACTGCGAGTTACTGCACAGACTGTTGAATCATTACTTTCTACTGTTGATCGAATCTACTTTGCTCCAGTTTACCAAACGTAACATTTGTGGTAGTGTTTGTTAACTTTTGATATTATTTCGATCACCATCAAAAACTAGGTGGGTCTCTTGAGATGAAATACTAGCCTACTTCATGGTCTGTATATTTACTATAGCTTTAGCCCGTCGGTTTGTCAGTTCAGTTGTTGGGTTAGATTATCCTTGCGTGATCACTCTTTCGTGCCAGGATCTTTCAGANNTTTCAGAAGAAATATGTTGTTTCTTGTCATGATTAATTCATTTTCATTATTTTGTGTTCTTGCAGGATATTTGAAACTGTCGGTGGTGGTGATTCCGAGTCGCTGGATCCGAACAGTGTCCCAGTCACTCCCAGTCCCCCAGTGTGCCCCTTAACACGGCACACACGTCTATGCCCGTTAAACGTGAAGCGATTACTACCCCGAGCGCAGCTTACCTCTCAGTCGGGTTCGACCGAGACCAATATCCTTTGTGTTCAACGGGGTGCCTGTTTAGACGGTCCTCATGAAAAGCCAATACGCACACCGTACGTCCTAGATATTTTTTTTCATAATTCTACGTTTTCAATTTGCCTGTCCTCCCCTCCACGCTGTATTTTCCCATCACTTGTACCAATACCAGTTTCGTTTTTCATCGTTGTTTCATATGACCAAGTGAGCAATCGATGTATATTTTTCGACTGTATTTGCGTCCGCTGTTCCATCTTGTTTGATCACTATCTGTTATGCTATCAGAACACTCCGTTAACCTGCCATTGACTACGCGTGGTGACTACCACGCACATCGATGACCTGACTCCTCGATTGTCCGATTAACGCGCTTCCTGTTTTTCAATCGCATGCTATATTCCGGTTACTGCACAAGCCCGGTTCAATCACATGCTCTCAGTTTGATCGCCCCTTTCCTCTCTCTCTCTCTCTCTCTCTCTCTCAAGTATTCACCCTTATGATGCGATTTTTGTTCGTGCTCGATATCACTGTTTGTTTTGGTTACCTTATGTTTTCCCTACACTAGCCTGTCAGCTGACTTCACAAACGCTTCTCCAATCTGTGTACCGTTTCTCATTGCTGTGACTGGATGTTTGTCATTGTCACACACACACACATCCCTCGGTTTATCCGATTTAACATCTAGTCAGGAAGCGTTAGAGCCCAGCAGTAGTGTTTATACAGCTTCTCGTCCGTGACTTGAGCTCTTAGCCTCAGACATATTGGTTACCATTTTGTGCCTACAAGCTCGCACCGGAGCGAGTTTGGTTGACATTCAGTCGAAATTCACTTAGGTTGGTTTGTGGTTCCGAGTAGATCTCTTGAAGATCTACTTATTTTCTTTTCGACCGTATTATATACTGTAATGTTATATTTCTATAATTGTACAAAATGTGTTCCCCTTTTCGCCAATCCGTTTCACTTATAGATCCAAACCGAACACCACGAAGCCCCATATTTTCCCCTGTCGTGCCCGGTTTGATGGATTCACCTGTGATACGGGGCAACCGCTTCGAATTGATGAATGGCTAATCCCATCTCGACGTGGTCCAAAGAGTTCCGACTGCCGTGACACGGCAAAACTGTTGGAGAGTCTCGCCCCGCAACTAGTTTACCTTACTCGTTGCTCAAAACCACCGGAACTCTGTCGCGTTCTCGGCTATCAATATATCTCAAACGGATCCCCCTCCGGTAAGCACGCTGTGTTTGTTGTGTTGTGTTGTTTTTGGTGTCAGAGACGCGCTGTCTCTGAAGCTCTATCACGACAGAGCAGATTTCCTACTTTTTCGTAATAGACGGACGGAGTTTGGCCCTTCAGCGTAATTAGTCATTGTGGGGTCAGTCGAATCGGATGCCGGGTTGAACATGTCGTAGCAAAGCTGTTCCTGGGCTAATCCAAGTTTGCTAATCTAAAAAATTGATTGAGCCATTCGCACAAGGTGATGACTGTCAACCATGTTGCTCGGTGGTAAGGGTTTGAAGTCCCAACCCGAAAGTTCGCGGTTCGAGTCCTAACAGGGACAAAAAACGTATGCACTGCTGACGAGTCTTAAACGGGACGACACAGCTGTCAAGTGCTCTTTGTCGATTGTCACAAACAGTTCAGTCTTGAGTATTTAAATTCATAAGCCCCTTCTACTGGCTTTACTGATATGTCGTTTTCCCCGATCGGTTGCAAAGGACTTACCGATTGGTAAAGTTGATACAAGGTGTCTCCAAATACGCTGGCATATCCACAGGGAAACACTAACGCATATCAACAACTTCATTTCCGAAATATTTCCAGGCAGTCATCAGTAGCTGTATCTGCATACAGCATCCAGTCGCTGCAAACGCACACTGCGTATTCTCTCCTCTGTATTGTTTTACTTTATTTCATCCGTTGGCTTGTCGATCAAGACACACCATTCCCCGGAATCACTTCCTTATTGGAAAATTTTGTTCCATTTTAGAAATTTTTTTCGACATATCGCCAGATTCTGCGAGTACTCTANCTCTATCCGCGATTTGATAGAAAAAAACAAAAATACATCCATTCCAGTGCATAATGTTGAGTTGTTTTGTATGTGTGTGTATGTATGTTTGTGCCTCGGTATTTTCCCTCTTCCAGGTGAATCGATGCGCCCCGGCAGTGGTGGTGGATCGGCCGATTATTCTGGTTGGTTTGTTGCTCAGCTTGTGAGTGAACGTCCCCGAGGCACATGTTTGACCACACTGGTGAACGTGCTCACCGATCGTACCGGTGAGACAACGCGTTCGTTCGCCTGGATTCGGACAGTCACACAACAACTGGTCGATGTGCTCATCTGGTTACACGGTCAGAACATGAGCCATCGGGATTTACAGGTCAGTTCCTCTCGGATAGATTTTCTCTTTGTTCCTCGCTGTGTGTGTGTGTGTGTGTGCAAACTAAACCCAAGTATACGTTACACTGTACGAACTGTTATTAGTTTGTATATTGTTATAATATAATATATGATTACTATATGCACGTTATTATCATTAATTTACACGACACGTCAAAAATTTGAATTTGGCTCTAATTATATATATATATATATATATATATATATATATATATATATATATATATATATATA